GTAATTTATGTGGTTTTCTAAATGCTGTTATAAATGTATTTTTAATTGTTTCTTTAATTATTTCAATAGTAAATGACTCACAATCAGCGTCATTTACTTTGAGGTTATCTACATGCTTAAAGCTCAATGAGTTTTGGGCAAAAATAGATACGCCCCCGCCAATGCCGTTTTCTCTCGGTTGATGGATGGATTTATATCCTGATAATTGAAAGTTAGAATTAATCGTGTCGATGACACCAAGTTTCTGTCAGACAGATAATACTGAACTTGTTTTTTATATTATTTAACATTAATTTTAAAATTTCAAATTTTTTATTAATGCTTCTGATGTTTAAATGAAATAATGAAAAATTAGATGATGAAGAATTAAAAACATCTTAAACATCGTCAACTTTGTAATAAGCCGTTTCTACTAAAATTAGGTCAAAAAAGTTATTGTTTTTATCATCGTCATTAATTCGGTTAAGTGCATTTTTCCTTCCTGGTATGTCAAAAATAATATCATTGATAGCTTCCGCAATTTTAGCAATATTAACTAAGATTAATATTTAAAATACAAAATATAAAAAGTATATAAGCTTTAGGTTTTTTTAAGAGATTTTTTTAAAATCTTTAACAACTAATTTATCATAAATAACGACAAAATTCTTACCATTTATCCTGTGAGTTTGCATTTCTTCAAAAAGAGTTTTCCGTATGTTTAGGGTATCCAAAGAATAATCTTCGTTTATAAATATTCCTATTCCTTTTAATTTTTTCGAGTTTTTTAATATGTTAACTTTATCTTTGTAGTTCAGAAATTTTATCACGATTGATCTAGGTTTACTTTGCCCAGTTTTTCCGGTTCTATGTGCCCTTTCAATAACCACGCCACTTACATTTAGTTTGTTTTCAAAGATACTTAAAACCTTTTCTTCAGATTCATTCCAACTTTCAGATTCGCTCTCCGTTATTCCTTCAAGGCGCAAATTATTTCTTCTCACTCGATCTTCAAGTTGTCGCAGCTTATTTTTTTCTTCTGCACTAAATGCTACTTTTGTAACAATTTTTTTTTCAGTTTTATTGATTTTCTCCTCTTGGATATCTTGTGTGAAAGTGATATTGTGTTCAATATCTTTTTGACTGTGTTCAATTATTGAGACTCTGTCACTTGTTTTTACCATTTCAGATTTTCTTAAATTATTTTCAATTTGTAAAGTTTTGCACGTTTCTTTTATTTTTGCTATTTCTTTGAGCAATCCATCAATTCTTTCATTTGTAATTTTTAAATTACCACTAATAAAATTGAGAATGTCTTTTTGCTGTTTCTTAAACATCTCAGAGAATATTTCACGAACTAATTTCAAAGATATTTCTGAAGCTTCTGTATTTAATTGAATTTCTTTTTTATCACTATTTTTATTTTTATTCATTTTATTAACAAATTAAATACGAATGTTTAAAGTTAAATACCAATTATAAACAAAAATTTTAAAAATTAAGTTCAAACAATTTTATTAAAAATTTACAGCGCAAGAAAAGCACGTCCGATCACTTCCGTGTTGTGATTTAATGTGATTTTTTGACTATGCGAATAAGTGAACATGTATTTCTTTCATTTAAAGTGCTGATTCTTCCTGGACATAGAATATTTTGAGTTGTATTGTATCTTTAATACCGGCTGCTTATTCTGCTAAAAGTCGCATGTGTTGTGTAAAAATGTTTTTTAGTTTCTCTCATGAAAATGTTTTGTTTATTCATCTCTTTTATTTTACATTTTGTTTTACTATCAAAAATTATTCCAGTCAATTTGATCGTTTTATTGCTGAAATATTGTAGTTGATTAGATACTCATTTTTTCTATTTCATTTTACGCAACTTTTTCAAATATGTATAACAATTTGTATAAAAGTTCTCAAATAAATATAAATAGTTCGCAAATAAGTGCAAAGTTTTAGTCAAAGAGAGATGAAATTTTAAAGGAGGTTTGAAATAATAGAGTGGATTGTTAATTTTGGCCAAATTAATTATTTTAGATTATGAGATGTATGTCAAAAAAAAGTAATATAATTAGCAGATCAAGTAATTTTTTTTATAAATACCTATATTTATTTGTAAGAAAATAGAATGCTCATGGATATACATTTTTTATATTTAAAAAGAATCAAACAACCATTGATATAATATCAACCAAAGACCAATGATGTGAAAAAAAATATATTGGATTGTTATTAATGGCCAATACTGTAAAATTCTATAAGGGACTACATAAAATTTTTTACAACTACCGGAGGAGAGAAAGGTGACACCCCCCCCCCATCATTTTTGTTTACATATATTTATATCGCATGTATCTTTTACATTTGGTATATAACTTTTTTAAATGTTTTGATTATTATAATAATTAATTTTGTAAGCAAATATTTTAAAAACTATTTTAGAAATATTAAGCGAGAAATTGTTAAAAAGATAGAAAGAGAAAAAAAAAAAAAAAACTCTAATCCCCCTACTCCTCGCCTTCCCCACCCCTATTTATTGGTAATACTTAATGTTTTCTTTAGTAAAATTGAGCAGTAACAGTTAGAATGCCTGAAAAGTTACAGTTAGTATACTTAAACAGTTTCAGTTGACTAAGCCATTCTTTTGAGAAATTTCTGACCCTTGAAGACTGTTTATTGTTCCTTTGAGTTCCTGTACTTAATATTACATTTGAAAACATTTTTTTTCTTTTTTTTTAATTTTTGTTATAGGTGCTCAAAGAAGACCTAACGGTCTTGTCACAGACCGCTGAATAGCATTTAACTAGGAAGTTCACGCATCCTTACGAATGGCTTACTAACTTGAAAATTCTTTTCGGGAATAATACTTTTTAAGTCCAAAATTAGTTAGTTTCCATTTATTGATCTACCTACAATATTTTTATTTTCTAAGGTTGCTAGTACCCAACAAACATATCAGCGTTAAAACAACGTTGAAAACCAGTCACAGCGTAGAAAAAGCGTTACAGTCACAAAAGCAACGTGCTTTCAACGTTGAACAATGTCTTTTTTTGTAAACTAAATTGCGGTTAATTGAAACGTTGAATAAGCGTTGAAATTGTAAGTAATTTAACTTCTCAAAATTAAACGTATGTACAACGTGGAATCAACTTACGCAAAAAGCCACTTTAAAAACGTTTTAAAGCATATGCTTTATAAACGTTTAAAAACAAACCGCTTTTTAAACGTTACATTTTCAACGTTGAACTAGCGTAAAAATTTAAACGTATCATATCTTTTCAAAAATTTGCGTTTATTCAACGTTAAATAAAAGTTCGCAAATAATCATTGTAAAAACGTCACAAAGTTTATGGTTTATCAACGTTAGACATTATCTGCTTTTTTTACGTATTTAAGCTATTTATAAAACAACGCTTATTCATCGTAAAGGCGAGTTTTCACTCATCCGTTTTTTCACGGGAACGGGAAAAGGGCGGGAAAAATAATCACGTGGGCATGCGTAGTATAAGTTTTAATATGTCCAAAGAAAAACTACGCATGCTCACGTGATTATTTTTCCCTTTCCTATCCCGTTCCCGTGAAAAAACGGACGAGTGGAAACTCACCTTTACATATACCAACTTTGAAAATGTAGTAAATTAAAAAACGTTGATAAAGTGATACTTTGCCAACGTTAATAAAACGTGCTTTGACAAAGTTGAGGAAGTGGCACATTGACAGTGGCATATATATATATATATATATATATATATATATATATATATATATATTATATATATATATATATATATATATATATATATATATATATATATATATATATATATATAAATATAAATACATATATGTATATATTATACATACATATATATATACGTATATAAAATACATACATACATATATATATATATATATATATATATATATATATATATATATATAACATATATACATATATATATATGTATATAAAATACATATATATATATGTATGTATGTATTTTATATATATATATATATGTATGTTTTATATATATATATATATATATATATATATATATACATATATATATATATAAAACATACATACATATATATATATAAAATACATACATACATATATATATATATATATATATATATATATATATATATATATATATATATATATATATATATATATATATATATATATATATATATATATATATATATATATATATATATATATATATATATATATCAAGCATTCCCAGGAAAGGCGTGCGGTTTTTTTTCTCGTACGACCACGAAAACGTTTTTCAAGTTAGAAAACGTGATCACGGCTATTTTCTCAAGTTATATTATATGCGTTACTGAAAAATTGTTTTAAATTTAATAACTACATAAGAAATTAAAGTAAACTTAAATAGAAAACAATAATAATAGTTTAAGCAATTTGTGTGTTGTTTTTATTTTTGTTTTTTCTTAGTGGTTATTATTATCGGCAACAAATTTCATTAAGTCAAAGCAAAAAAAAAAAAACGGTTTTAGGAGTTAAAAAGGATGACTTCCCCATATTTTACGTGTTTTTTTTGTTTAAAGAGGAAAGGGAAAATATGTATCGTCATCTGTTTGTAAAATATATTTGTATAATTATAATGTAACAAGTTTATATCAAGAGTTAAATTATACGATCGCGTTTGCAAACTCTGGTAAAATATTAGGTGTTTAAAATTTTAGTTCATGCAAAGCTGTGTACTTTGTTAACAAGAAGCAAGTTATTAAAAGTTTGCTAGCGAGAAAGTTACAAAAAACAAAACAAAAACAATAAACTTTTGATGGGCATTTGCATGAGTATATTAAAGAAACTTCACAGGGAATGAAAATTGAAAATGAAAATTCAAATAAGTGCCAGTTTGAATAACCGGTAGTTTACTAATATATATATATATATATATATATATATATATATATATATATATATATATATATATATATATATATATATATACATATCTATATATATATATATATATATAT